TGGCTAATGAAAATATTATTTTATATAATAGATATTTATTAATATAATAGATAAATATTTTAATTAATTATTTAGAAGTAATCTGAAATAACCAATAAAATTTATAAAATAATATTTCCATCATGTTATTAAAAAAATATGATATAATATTAATATGTATCTATTATACAAAGTAACTTTTTGCGATTTATTAACTAATATGTACGAGGAAACAAATGCGTTACTTAAGAAAAAAACGTGATGATAGAAAATCAATAGGCACCATATTATCCATGAAAAGTTGTGTGTGCCTGCCTGTAAGGGTAAGCGTGAATCAGAGAAGTAGATTGGACCGGCAAATTTGGTTTGGATCACAAAGCTCAGTCTACGCCCAAATTGGAATTGCGTAATGTTCGGTACAATTTTTGGTCCAAAAAACTACCCATCTCTTCTATTCCAAACCAATCAATTTCTTTAATATTAAAAATTAAAATAAAAAACATATATATATAATGCGTATTTATATATTACGGATAAAATATTAAATATGTAAATAATAAATATTTTTAATTATTCAAAATTAAACTATTAATATATATATATCAATAACATATTTTAAAAAATTAAAATTTGGTCCAAAAAATCTTTTTTTTCTCTCAATTTCAATCTTTAGTCCGTTAACAGTGTCGTCGTGTTTTGTGGGTTATTTAAGAAAAAAAAGAAATTTGTGTTTCCATGGTAAGTATAATTATAATAGCCACAATCAAAGTCCAAGTTGGAGAGTTAATCAAACTCTTAAATTACTTTAATTACTTTTAACATACACTCTCAGGTTAATTATGATTAGTTACAAGATTATGAGCTCAAAATCTCCGGGACATAACATAAAAGAGTCAATTCCAGTGAAAGAAAATCAAACAATCTCAACCAGTAAATACAAATTCTTAGTTTGAAATTGAACGAACGTGTACGTCAAACTCTACATCATTGAAATTCTAAACTATTAGTCTTAACCAAAGAAAAGACAACTCCAAGCTATGGAAAATGATTCTATCAACAAAGTCTCTGCACGTTTACTTTTACCTCTTCTACTCATATAGTTTTTATATATTTATATACGTAATTTTCTTTCAAATTTCGTATTTCTATCTTCTTTTAGGCAAAAATAAAAAAATATAAGAAAATTCAGCATATCATGTGGAGGTTTTACTTAGAAGCTGCATGCTAGCTATGGAGTTGTGTCAAGTGTCAGAGATTTTCAAACTATATGCTGGAAGCATTTTTTTTTTTCAATAACGTTGAAAAAAGCCTTGAAAATGAATTAACTAGAATCAAACATCCTTGTCCCATATTTAATAAATAAATTTACCCAAAATTGAAATCTGACTATTTAAAGAGGTAATTAACTAACAACTAGTGAGAATATCTGTTTGTATTTGAGCCTACATAAAAATGCTTCTCTAGTATACATTTATATTGTTTATAATACATTAATAATTAATATATTTATTTTTTAAATAAAAATTTGTAAGTTTGAATAAGATTGTTCTTCTGTTTCTGTTTGTTCTCATTATTTTTTATTATTTCATAATTTAATGTTTATATATTATCGAATTAATAAATACATAAATTTTAGTAAGGATTTTAGTTTACGAGTCAATTGCATGTATAGAGGAGCGTGTTATCTGCGTGTGCGGAATTAATATATGTTCAATGTTGAGAAGTGATAGAGCTGGAGTTGTTACAAATAAGAAGAGTGTTAGACATTTATTTTTATAATTTGCTAAGATGAGGATTGAGGATTTAAAATCTTAACGACCCAAAGTTTGAGTGATCACTCAAACCAAAAAAATACAGAAGATCTAAGAAGAATAGCAAGCAAATCGCCTTTAAAAATCCCTCATCATCTCTCACACTAACCTAATAATTACCCATTTCCCCATCTGCAAATCATCTGCAAACCAGAAGAAAAGATCGACAAAAGAGAGAATATGTAGATATGTATACACGTTCAAGTGAAGATGAAGATAGTCATGAGGATGATCGATCCATCTCAAGACACTCGGGAGACTCCATTATGCTTTCCAGAGAAGGTTTCCATGGTTGATTTTTCCCCGATAATCTTCCTTTCTGTAAATCTTCCAAAACGTCTTGAAATCTCATTCCGTCATTAATATTCTCCAGTTGAAGCAACAATAACTCCAACTCCTCCCTCGACAACACTATCTTCACCTTCATTCCAACTTTCCCAAACCCTTGATCGTCACCTTTTGACTTTTCTTCACTTATCTCTGCTTGGATCTGCTGCCTAATAACTTCCTGCTCCTCCGTATGATCATGATATCTTTCTCTGCATGATTGCATGCAATTTCCCATGATTCTATCTTACTATTATGCCCAGAAAGCAATTAAAACAGGTCTGATTTCAAATGGGTAAAACTAAAAGGAATCCCAAAAGATGGGTAATGGTGATATATATATATATATGTATAATATATAAAATTATATCATCAGAACAAGTAGTTAATTTTGGTACGAAGGGGAGTGAGAGAAGTTGGTATTTATAGGCGTTAGGTGGTAATTAAATCTTTAGGTCAGATTCGTTTTGTTCACGGGTATTGAATTTTCTATCTACTTGAGCAATTATTTAATACATATATAATTAATATATATGACAATAACTAGGAACACTATTATTTAATTTAATGTCGAAGATTAATGTATTAAATATTACAGTGTTGAGTGATTAAAGGTGAAAAACTTAAATTCTGATTTTTAATTAAAAAAGATTGTGAATTTAAGAACCCTATAATATTATTATTATTTTTTTCTCAAAAAAAATCATAATCATAATATATGTAGGTTGGAGTTGTCTTTATTCTATATACACGTAATGTTATTGGTAATGTGTATGTATAATTGACATATATTGTTAAATTCTCTATTCTAATTTAATCCAAATTAAACATGCAGCATGTACATTATTAATGAATAATGGTGACACCACTTGGCATCAATTTATGGGGTGGTAATAATTTCTTGTTTATTCAAATAGGTAATTTGATTTGTTCTAAAGAACACTTTAGTCTACTTTGACTATTGTGGAAATTGATGACTAAAATTAAGAAGGGACCAGCTTTTTGTTTTGGTTGAATGTTTAATATAAGAAGTAATAATAAATGCAAACAAATTGTTAGGTTAATGTCAATTTTGTAACCAGCCACCTGCACTGTCATGGCCATCCTACTTAAAAACAAACATATAAATTAAAAGTTTACAACAGTATGACTAGTGACATACATATATATATATATATATATCACAATTTGCAACAGATTCCCTCGCATTAATATACAAAGAAATAAAATATTGAGATGTACTAACTTTTGATTTAATATATATATATATATAATAATGTTTCCTTAAATTAAGCCCTCCAATATTTAATTTATTCAAGTAGCTATTTGTCTGCATTGTTTTGTGGCATAATTTAAGTAGACTGGACTTGCTTTCAACCACTACTTCCCATCCTTCCATTTTCTTTCGGGAATTTGGATGATTTTAGTAATCTGATAATTTATATATTTAGCTTAGCACAAAGTAAATTATAGGGGAAATCTTACTTTCAACTTTTAACTTTGAACATTGGATTGCTTTTGGTTAATTTTATAAGCTTTTCAGTGTCATCTAATGGAGGGCATTCGAGAGATAAGAAATATATTCAAAAGCAACAAAACAAAAAATGAAAACTATATATATATATATATTATATGTTAATATGCGTTGATTTTGGAAATATTTTTTAAGATATTTTATATTTATTTTGAAGAGATATTTTATATATATCTTTAAAAATTTTGTAGGAAAAAAATTATGGTAATTTTTTCTATCTAAAAGTTTATAATCCTATTGGTGAAGTCGATCATAATAAAAAAATATACGCATATTTATTAAACTATATTAAATTATATATTTTTTATTTTATTATAATTGTGCGTGATTTAGAAATTAATTTTGGCATCATTATATGTAATCTTTTTTCTATTTCTTTCTCTTTGCTGGAATATATTAATTTTTATTTAGCCGAAAAACACTTATATTTAGACTTAATCTTTTGATTTTTTGTTAATTATTTCAAATGCCCACATTTTCTGCTTTTCTTGAACTTTCTAGCTTTTTGTTTGCTAATTGAATTAAAAGCTTCGAATAAGTTATGGAGAGAAATAGCATTAAACAGATTGAACAAAATTGGAATTCTAACAAGAGTAGAACATATATATATATATATATATAAAAGTAATCTTATAAATCTGAAATTAAAAACAGTAAATTATGAATTTAAAAATCAAAGTTATAATTTAATTCACAAGTCAATAAAATTTTAAAATTAAAAATAATTTTAGTAAAAAAAAAAAAAAAGAAAAAAAAGGAAATCACAAGGGTAGTTATACTTAGTATAAGTAAAGTAATACTAAAAATAAGACCATGGAGGTAGATTGGGAAACCCAATATTATTATTATTATTATTATTATTATTTTTAAACTTAAGAAATATAGTCTATATTTTCTAATACGGTAGGTTTGGTTTTCTAGTCATTCTTCTCCACTTACCATATAGATTTTTCAACCTCCCCTTGTCAAAATTCTGTCTTCCTGGTCAGCATAACGTGTGAACATAAATTAAATTTTATGAACACAAAATATATTCCAGTCCCAGCTCTAATTTGGTTATTTTTTTTTTCGAAAATGTGACTTTTAATGCTCCAAAAAAGTTGTAAACGTCTAGAAAATTTTTCTGGTATTTATATCTTTATAGGGAGTGGTAGAAATTCAACCATGCAACTTGTCTGCTTGTGACATACTACTATTCACAAGTTATAAAATTATAATATAATGATATAATTTGTTTATGAATAAAAACAGTCTTTTTCCTTACTCGATTTAATGTTCGTATATGACGTAAACTTTTTAGTTCATATTACATAAATCAATTCAATTAAAAAAACTTGACCAAGTTAAACAAAAAGAAAAAAAAAAAATCAGTCCACTAATTTTAATTCTAAAACTACAGAATTCCAAGTTCACCGTATCTGCCTCTTCGCAATATTTGGTTTTGTCATTCTTCCTTTTTATATATGTTTTAAGAGCTCATGGCTAAGCATATGACTTAGAAGGCTTCTTTAATTCTTAGCTAACTTAATTTATATATTTATTCCAATATACAAAAAGAATAAGGTTTAAACGAGCTCTACTTTTTACTCAGTTAAGATGTATCTCTTTTTATATTTTTAATATATGGTTTGTCTATTTGTAAGATGTTTATTTATGTTAGTTTATTGTGACAACTTGCGTACTGTACTCAGATATTAGTTGTCATTCTTATTTTCATAGAATTTGTTGTAAAACATTTTTATTCCAAAGTTGTATCTTATCCATGAGTAAACTGTTTCTTTTCCTCTATATGCTACTTCTTCATCATATAACTATTGTCTCCACTTTAGTATTGGGATGCTGCATAAACCAATAAACAGAAAAATTTATATAGGCTATTAAAAATAACATCTAGAATCTGTAATGCTGCATTTCCTTGTGTTTTAGTGCCGATAGTCATATCCCCACAGCAGACCTATACGAAATCTGCATATCTAACTCGAAATGCCTCCGATCACCCCCTCTCTCTGTCTCTCATGATCGACCCTCTCTCCCTCTCCCTCCTTTCCACCTCTCCATTCTCTCTCTCGGGTTTTTCCTTCAACAGATGCAATGTCTTTGCAATTTAGAGGGGGTGATTTTGGATTTTGGGGTTAAGTTCTGGATTTTGAAATTTTCCTTCATTTAAGTCCCTAAGCCCTTTTAAATTTATAAAAAGCCCCTGAACTATCTAGAAATTCTTATAGAACACCCCAAAAATTAAACTTTAAATTATAAGGGATGTTACATTTATACTTTTGAAATGTACTTGAAATTAAAAATATAGTTTCTAACTAGATTTTCAATTAGCGTCCTTGATGTTATGCTATTGCAAGATATATCAATGACTCCATTAGCAAATGAAATAAATTGGAAATGAACAAGAAGGAGCCAAAGTAAAAAAGGAATGAAATTGAAGTTACCCTCATCAATGCATAAAATGCTTAATATAATCTCAAATAAAATGTTGAAATGTAACAAAGAGTACTTTATTACATTTTATGTGTGTATATTCAAAATTGATAATTATTTAATTATAAAGTATTACAGTATTGATAAAGTTGTGTCCATGAATGAGGAGAGAGCAAGAGAGGGAGGGGAAGAAAACCTAAGAAGATATGGATATATCAAAAGGCGTATGGTATTTTTAACTATTAGCAATTATAATGAACTTAGTAGTAAACTATACTTACAAGATAGTAGTTTATTTAAAGGTGTTAGACAAGTATTTTTTATTCATTGTTTGTGGTTAAAGGAAAATGATATTCCTATATTGTTACATACTCATCAAATTGTTGTTTCATTACAATTGTAGTGTTCTACCTTTAATTAGTTTTGCAAAGTTTATTTATCTTATGCTTATCAAATTTTTATTTTCTAAAGCTTAATGTTTTTTTTTTTTTTAAATCTATGGCCTTTTTTTCTTTTCAAATGACTAAGAAATCTCAAGATATCTTTCTTCTTTTTTTTTTGCCTCTCACTAAATGGTTATCATAGATTAAAGTTTACAAGGTAAGCATATAATCATTACAAAAGTTGCTTCTAATGTATTGCTACCCACCCTTGAAGATATGTTTTTCTCCATAGCTAATGGATATGGGGCCACCTAAATAAACTTAATGATATAAGTCATCTATGTTTCTATGCTAGTGTGCTCTTAGATTTTTCTATTTATTCACTATTCTTTTCTTATCTTCCTTCTAAATACTGAGAAAATAACAAGTCTAAGTAATTATCTTATGTTTTAGGTTAACCTATTCGATTTGATTCTTAATATTTTTGAAATAATCTGTACAAGCATATATACGTATATCTCTGAATTATTTTTTTAATTGAATCAGTATATGTAATATGAATTAAAAAGTCTGCATCAGATGCTACGACATCAGACATATGACACTTGACATGGACAAGACTCACTCATAATGTGTTATGTTGCTAACTTGGATCCACGTAATAGTGTTAAAGGGTATAATTGAAATATAAATTCTTTAAAAATACAATAACCAAAATAACAAATAAAAAAAGTTTTATACACTTTGGCCCTCTTTCAAATATTAACTTTTACAATTATATATAATTTTATTAATTATTGAGACTCTAAAACTAAGTCTGGCTGTCAAATTTTAATTTAAATAAAAATATCATTTTTCATCATTTGGAAAATACACAAATTTATATGAATT